TAATTTTTACTAAAGTGTTTGCTTTTAAATGCATTTATTTAATGTAACATAAAATAGCTTAAAGCAGGCACAATAGTGGCCATCAGATAAAACTTAGACATTATTTTAACTTTTACAGTAAAATAACTGAAACTGTTAATAATTTCAGCGTTGTTTAATTGACATTCCACCTTTTTGAAAATTTCTATTTTTTTTTTGGCACATTTATTTTGAATTAAAACTTTTTGAAAAAATAAATAAATAAATAAATAGAAAAGCTTTTTTTTTAAATTTGTCTAAATATAAGAACTGATAAAAAATTTAAAGTTTTGTTCTGTACATTCTGTTAGCAGAATTTTTTGATCAAAAGGAAAAAAGTCAAACATTCTTTGAACTTTTTTTGAATTTTGAATTTTTCTTTTCAGTTTTCATTTTTTTTCTTTTTCAAACGAAATTTTAGATGTTTTTGTCAGCGTAACCAAACTGACAATCGCCATTACTCTTCCTTTCGAGTCCTCTTATCATTTCAAATAGAATCGCAAAAACACACGATCAAGACATCTATTCACTTATTTGTTCTGTAAGTAAATAGTTGTAACTGTGTCAATTTGTACAGTAGTTTTTAAATTTGAATACTTTTTGTCAAAAGCAAAATTTTTCTTTTTTTTTTACTTATTTATTTCTCATAGAAAAATTACTGGATAAAGCAGTGATAAACTCATTCAAAAAACGAGGTACGTAGAACTATCGAAAAAAAAATGAGGAGAAACTTTTCTAACCCGGAGAGCCACCTACAAGGGATATTATTAAATGTAGTTGGAGTAAATAACTTTTATTTATATAGAAAAGCAAATAAAGCTTGAAAATTGTCAAAAATTAGTTGAGATTTTCTCGCCAAATCAATTCATAACAAAAAAAAGCTGTTCAAACTTCACATGCAGAGTACAACTGTAAAATTCTTGAAACATTTTTCTCTACTGTATGATATATTTCACTGCAGTAAAAGACAGGTAAAAAAAAAGCTAAATTAGACTTATTTAAACTTTTTTTTATAAAGCTAGATATATCAAATAAAAATTTACATGTATTTTTTTGAATCTGTTCTTTTAAGAATAGTAAAACACAAAGAAGAATTTTAGAATTTTTGAAGAAACTAATTTACAACACCAAACTAACGTCTACATTGTCACTAACAATTAAACAAAAAAAAGGACGCTGGAACAAAAATGATGAGAATTATTGGTGGATAGTGAGGAGTGAGGAGTTAATTTCAGATAAACTCTGCTAAAAATAAAAAACCTTGCAGTTTTAAAAAACATCTAAGATTTTCATTGACAAATTTTATACTGTTTTTGATTTTTCAAATTGTTGATAAGCTCAGACGGATAAGATATATCAATTAGTACTGCCATTTGAAAACTTATTTTTTGCAGCAAAAATATTTTAACAGTCACTTTTGCAAATTTTTAAGAGCATTTCTCAACAACTAAAACTCAATAAAACTTTTCAGCAATGATTAGTGTGTAATTAGTGTATTGGTGATTAACTTTATCGTTTAATCACTCAATATTATTATACCAGTGTATTATATTCCATAATTGTGGAAAAATACCAATGTTTTTTGTTTACGTATAAAAGCAGTTTTAACAGCAAACAGTTGATTTTAAGCAATGATTATATCATCTTTTTTACCAGTAACAAAGAGTGCATGTAAAAATTATTATAATACAAAAAATATTGTATTTAAAAAGCAGTCTATAAAATTCTTCAAAAACTTACTTTTCAAAGGTAAGTTTTTTGGTAACATGTTTTTTTTTCAAAAAAAATTTTTTTTTTGTCGGAGATGAAAAGATAATGCTACTTGTAACTAATACTGCCAACACTGTCGAAAAAAAAAGTCTTAAAATCAGGAGATAGCATAAAATGCAAAAAAAGTTTACAGCTTTATTGAGAATTTTTTAATGATTGTTCAGTAATTGCTTGATGGTTTTTGATTTTGCAACATACATAATCTGAATAAACTGCGGTAGACAGCTCATCTTTGAATTGGGCATAAAGCTGTAAATGTGGCTTCTGCAGTGTAAGTTGCTCTAAATTGAGTTGTGATTAGTGGAGTTGCTCTGACGTAGCATTCAAGTTTACTCTGACGAAACTGTCAACTATGCATAACTGCTTTTTTGTTCCGAAATATTTGCCATTTTATTTTTTCTATTTTGGGAAATGTTGCTTTCGTAAAAGGAAACGCTGGTACGATATGATATTATTTATTTGAAAAAAACAAATATCAACAAAAAAAAACTGACAGCTAATTGAGCTCTATTTCACGTAATGATGTCTCTATAATCTTTTCTTCAAATTATTCACATTTTTGACTAAAAACTAAAAACGACTTAAAGCTCTTGTAATTTTCAAACTGTATAGTCTTGAGTCACAACACAGCACTACACTTGAAAGCTACCTTGCTTGCCAAAGATTTGTTTATTTTACAGTAAAAAAACTACGATTATTAGAAACTTCAGAAAAGCTGCAAAAATAACCTGCAAATGTATCAATTGCTTTGAAATACAGCTTTTTAATTGAAATGAGGTGAATTTAAAACTGATAGTTTTTCTAACAATAAAGACAAATTTGAAAAAAATATTATTTGAGTTTTTCTAGAAGAAAAATGGTTCTAAAATTAGGATTACCTATCAACCTGTTGAAGAACTAAATGCGCAGAATTCGTTTTGAAATACAAAATAATGCGTTTGAGAATATTTTTTATAGTCAACTACAAGAGAATTTGCTGGGTTAAACACAACAGAGTACTGTGTTTTTATTATAAACTAGTAAATTGGCGGTGATGACAGATAGTGGGAGAGTGATGTCCAAATATAGATTACCACGTACAATATGAGAATCATAATATAAAGTCCAGCACTTGCAGTCGATAAAATGATCAACAACAACCGATAACTAGACTGATATATTGTAGCACAGGTACTAGGTTAATAGTTTAAAGTAGATTGCCTAAATGCAAATTATACGTGACAGTTGACTTGTTCAAGCAGTTTTTAAATTTCAGTTTGCCGCATTCAGCATGAATTTTGTGAAGCAATTGTCATC